CCTTCCCCCTCACCTGCCCCCTCACCTCCCCTCACCTGCCCCCTCACCTACCCCTCACCTGCACTTGGCCCACGGCGATGTCCAGGTCATTGTGGGCCCCTTCCGGCCCCTTGGAGATGGCTTCCTCGAGGCTGTGGGTGGCCTCTGCCCAGAGCCCCAGCTGGCTCTGCACTGCAGCCACGCTGAATAGCACCTGAGAGTGAGGCGGGGGTGACGGCAGGCCCAGGATGCCCCCCAGCCCCACTGCCTGGTCCCACGCCTGGCTCTGCCCCTGGGCCGGCTCTGCCCCGCAGGCCTCATTCCCCAGACCCCCAGCCGGAGCGGATCAGCCCTCCCTGCTTCTCTGCTCTGAATGTCAGGCGGACCTCCCATCTCTGGAAGCAGCCTCTCGGCCTTCGCAGCCCCGTCCTGCATTTGGCCTGACCCCCTCCTCCCCGTGCTGCCCTGCTTACTGAACCCCCAAGAGTCTGGGGTGCTGTCTGAGGAAGGCCTCTCTCCGCCCGCCCCTCCCCCCGTGTGGAAGGACGTTTGGGGCTGGATGTGCTGGGAAACAGCAGGAAGTGGCCACGCTCCCGGGAGCCGAGGGCGGAGGGTGCGGATTGCTCACCCGCGGCAGCCTCTGTCCCCGCAGTCCGCGGGGACACCGCGCTCCCAGAGCTGCTGTCACATGGCCTGCTGGGGTCACGGCCGGCCGACTCCCACAGCCCGCCTTGCACACAGTGCCGTGGGCCGGGGCCACCCCGGCGGGACGTCCCCCGTGGCTGGCTTACTGGGACACGGGTGGGTGGTTCCCAGGGGCTCCGAGGCAGCACGTTTCTGGGAGCGCATGGGCGCTCCTCCTAAGCCCCTCCATCAGTGCCCACCCCACCCCAGGAGGCCAGGAATGGCATCAAGCAAGAACCCCAGGGCGGGGATGCCAGGGGCCACAGCCAGGCCTGCTTCGGCCCAGCCCCCCCCCGAAGCCTGTCACCTCTCGCTGACCTCTGACCCTCCCCTGTGCCCCCCGGTGGGATTTGCGGGCCCCTCTGGCCAGAGGGAGCACCTGAGTCAACACGGTCCCAGCTATGACAGTGACAAGATAGCGGGACCCAGAGGATGGGGTCTTCAGGATAAGCGGCCTGGAAGGACCACCTGGGCCGCCTGCCCACAGACAGCACCCCCAGCGCCCAACCGCGTCCCGCTCCCCGCACGCCCACCTCCCAGGCCTGCAGCTTGAACCGCAGGCCCAGCTGGGTGTAGTCGATGGCGGTGTTGCCCCTCAGCTGTGCCAGGGTCTGCTGGAAGTCGGATAGGGCCTCCCGGAACCTGTGGGCGGCAGGGGAGCCTGGCGTGGAGGCCCTCAGCGGCCAGAGGGCAGGGGGCGGAGCTTCGCCCAGCCCCACGCTGCCCCAGCTCCTGCTGCAGTGGTGGAGGCCGTGGTGGTCACCCAGGTCTCAACACAGGGGGTCCACACACAGACGGGCTGAGCAGCACGTGGGGCTCCAGCTCTGTCCTCTAGGCGCCTCCCTCCCCTGCCCATACCCCAGACCCTCTCCCAAACCTCGGTGTGCAGAGTGCCCTGGGCGTGTCCTGCCTGCTTCTCGGGCCCCACCCCATGGGCCTCCCCATGCAGAGCCCCGCTGGAAGCTCCCCAGCTCCCACCAGCATCCCCATCGCCCCCAGGAGGGCTCCTGGGTCGATGAGAAGAGGAGGTCTCCCCCAGAGCCCACCTGCCCCCAGTGGGACCTTCTGTGGGGGCCAGGCCTGTCCTGCAGCCTGATCCCTTCTCTGGGAAGGGCCCGGTGCCGAGGGCTGGGTGGCTAGGGAGGACCCCCATCACTTCCATGTCCTGGGATACACCACTCCTCCAGCCCTGCCCTCGGTTTCCACACGGGCAGCACGGGTATAATCGCACTGTCCCGGCTACAGCACGGATGTAGGAGCAAAGGAGGGGAAGCTGGCACAAGCACTCTGTGATCCCCTGAACCCCGTAAAGAGCCATGGGTCAAGGTGTGGCCCTACCCTGCTTCTGCCGCCACACGACCACAGCATCCTGTTCCTGGGCTCCCCTGGGGCCGCCCAGGAAGGGTGGGTAAGAGGAGGTGACCCGTGGGCAGAGAGGAACACAGGAAAGGGCTCTGCAGAGCCAAAGGGCCATCAGAGAAATAACAGGGCACTTCTGTGCTCACCTCCCCAGCTGGAAGTTGGCTACTCCTCGCTGGAAGAAGCCGACAGCCATGCAGGCATCCTTGGTCACTGCCTGGTCAAATGCCTGGGGACAAAAATGCCCATGGAACACCCAGGTCTGTAACCCCATCACTCCTGTGTCACAGATGCGGTCCAGGCAGATGCCCAGCAATGGATCAAGGAGTCCTGTTGACCCCCATCATGGCCACCTGCAGGAGAAGGTCTCCCCCGCCCACCCGGGGGGCCTCTGAGTCTGAGGCTGGGCGCACGCGTCACGGCCACAACCCAAAGCCGCCTGGGCTCCCGAGGTGCCCTGCGACGCACTCAGGGGCAGTTTGGTGGCAGCACAAACCAACCTGTTTACCATGAGGACAAGGAAACACTCCATTGCGTTAATAATAGTTACCTTCGGGGGAGGGAGTTATGCAAGGTTTTTGTTTTTTTTAAATCCTAGTTTTGGTAGTTCGCACAAATTGACGCACTGCTCATCTAGTAGAATCAGAAGGAGCAACAACACGAAAGTCTTAACGTGTGTAAAACACAAGCTCTTCCCGAAACAGGACTCAGAAATGACATCATCTGTTCCTAAGGAGGACAGCAGCCACCAGTTAAACACAAGCAAGAGGGGGGCATACAGCAGCTATCAAGTTAGATACAGGCAACTGGATCGGTGTCATGGCCAAGTGGGGGGCTTGTTGAACTGAGTTTGACCCGAGGTTGAGGGTCCACACACAGTACTGATGTGGCCGCTCAGCACTAGGGAAACCCGTTTGTTGTCCTGCCACACAGAGCAGCCAAATCGAAGCTTCCGTAGGGCAACAGATTGCATTCCCAGCTACACCCTTCTCACCCTGTCCAGGTCCTCAGAGACAACCAGTTTTATTAATTGTAGCCGTCCCATCTGCTTTTCAAAACATGTCCAACAAACATGCCTCTGCCACTCCGTCTCCGGTTAGGGTGGAGAATTTAACACTCACGCCCTCTGCGCAGAACCTTCGGCCCCTCTCTGGTTAAATCACGGTTTAGAGGAAGTGGTGACTGGATTGGCCTCACACTGCTGATTCCATGGTGTCCAGTGATCGCACCCCCATTGTTGGATAACATTTTAACACTGACACTGCTGCTGAGATAACTGTAGATTCATACACAGATGTGAAGAATGACAGGGTAGGTCCCTTGAACAGGTTTTCGGTAGCTGTCACTGATGGCCTGAACCACGCGGGAACCTGGCTCTTTCTGAGGGGGATTCCGTGTGCTGCTGGCTTTTTGTTGTCACCCGTGGAACGTGCACCAATGTAATAAACCTGGGGGCTTGAAGGGCAGAGAGTGGCCTTGCCGGCCCCTCGGCGGAGGCATGTGTGTGTGTGCGCCCATGTGTACCCCCAGCTCTTGGTTCTGCTTTGGGGAGTGGGTGGGAGACAGGTGAGCGCTCAGACCTGGGGTTTGGGCAGCAAACAGAGACCTTATCTCCTGGCCATCACCGCAGGTGTCTGCAGAAGGCCCAGCCCAAACCCTGCACCCTGGGTGCCCCTTCCCAGCCCCATCCAGCTTCGAGCCTGTTTGCGGGTATTTTAGCACCTCGGCCAAAAGCACCTGAGCCAGTGTTCATCCCAGCCGTTCCCCAAAACTGCAGAGCCTGGCACATGGTCACCACACAGTGGAGGCAGTGCCAGAGCCCTGCATTCCCATCCCGGCCCTGACTCAGCTCCGCTGGGGTCCCCTGCCCACACAGGCCTCCCCTGCTTAGGTGTTCACTGAGGCGGACCTGGGGAGACATCCTCAGGTGGCTATCAGGGAGGAAGGGCAGGGGTCCTGGGCTCACCCCTGCAGCTGGGACTTTATCCCACCCCTCATCGACGCCCCCCCCAGGGCCAGAGGGCAGCGTCCCCCAGGGGTGGGGTCTCTGCGACCAACCCCGGGGGCGCAGGCTGTCGGGCCCCTGGCTCACCCGCAGCGCGGCCTCCGGGTCCCCGGCTAGCAGGTGCACGCAGCCCACGTTGAAGCTCATCCTGGCGGGCGGCTCCGGGACGCTCGAGAAGAGGCGCAAGGCGTAGTCCCAGTCCCCACGCGCCACGGCCTGCGCGCCCCGGTGCCAGTCGCGCACCAGGTCCCCGAGCGAGGGCATGACGACGCGAACACCAGCCCGGCCCCACGGCGGAAGTCGGAGATTCCTGGCGGGAGCGCGGCGGGCGCGGCCGGCGGCGTTGGGGGTCCCGTCACGGGTCCGGTGGGGTGGCTGGGGGCCGAGGACCGCGGAGCAGGGGCCCCGGGATCCGGAGACCGGCGTGGGGCTGCGGGGGCCCTCTGAGGAGGGCGGGAGGGTCGGGGACCGACACCGGCGCCAGGTACTCGGTGAGGGGCGGGGCGGGCCGGGGAGCGCCAGGTGGGCCAGGCCTCCTGAGGCCCACGGCGCCCCCTGGCGGCAGAGCGGCCCCACCCCGTCAGCCCCGCCCCCGGACTGACCACGCCCCCAAACCGCGGCCTGGAGGCTCTCCCAAGCCGGCCCCGCCCCACCGGCCTGACCAAGACCCTAGCCTGCCTCCCGGCTCCTCCCCGGGCCCAGCCCCGCCCCTCCCGGCTAACCGCGCCCCCAAACAGAGGCCCCGCCCCCCCCCCCCCCCCCCCCCCCCCCCCCCCG